CATAAATGACATTATCAGACAAGGGACAAATCTCTAAAATTTATAGAAAAAGACAAACAGCTCAATTAAAAAATGGACACAGGACATGAACCCATACTTCACCAAAGAAGACCTTCAGACAGCAAACAAACATGAAGAAATGTTTGCTCTTTTCTGTTAGGGACCTGGGAATCCACAATTTGTGAGCCATTCCCTTGATACAAACTTCTCTTTTCACATATACATATATTTTCATTCGTTTTGCTTCTCTAGAGAACCCAGCCTAAGACATGTGGTACCAAGAGTGGGGTCTAGAGAAACAAAATCACAAGGATGAATTTACTAAAGTGGTTCTCAGGTCTGATTCATTTTAAAGGCACTAATAACTCAGCACTACTCGGAAACCCTGTACAGGGTCGCTATGGGTCAGACCCGACTCGATGGCACTTAACAACAACAACAACAACTAGTAAGTAAGTTGTACTGTGCAGGCATGTCTGACCTCTGTTTCACAGAAATCAACCTTGGTAGGATTTTGAGTTTGATTTTTCTTTCCCCCTTGTGAAGCCAAGGGAAGCCACACATGACTACTCCATGGGTTTTGCAGATGGTGTCAGGAACAGTATCATTACAATAGCTGCAGACTAATGAAACATGAGGTTTAATAAGAAAAAAAAAAAAAAAAACAAGGGCATGGGAAATGAAACTTTTGATTCTTAGATGTGTACTGAGTGGAGAGGCTTGATCTTGATGTGAAGACTCTGGGTTAATGCACCAGACTGCAAAGCCATTTGAGCTGCAAGGTTGGTAGTTCCAGCTCACCAGAAGCTCCTCAGAAACCCTACACAGGTTTGCTATGGGTCAGAACTGACTTGATAGCACTTAACAACTACAACAACATCCATAGTAAAGGTCAAGTTCATCAAATTGTAGCAACTTACACTTGCTTCCTTTATCAAATTTCTTTATCTTCCTCTAGTTGAGTTCTTCTGATCCTCAAGCCATCCAAGCTGGGTCAAAAACTTGGGCATTCTTGTGCACCTCCCCAAACTTCATATCAGCTGGATGCTTTGTTCTCAGTTCTAGACCACAGTGGCTAGGATAGTGTTCATGGGCACAGGAGTTTCCAAGTCTCCTGAAACTTTGGACCAACCAACCATTCCTCTTCTCTCTCACAGCAAGGTCAACAGGAGTGTATGGATCATGATCAAATTCTGCCCATGTCATCATTATTGCCCTTTCTCCACTTTTGATCACAGGTAGACCAACCAGCAAGCTTACAAGCCTTATATGTTACCTCTTGAAATGGTTGAACATCGACCATTTCTTTTTGGCACAGTGCCTCTGTGTATTCCTTCCATCTTATTTTTGATGCTTTCTGTATCATTCAATAGTTTGCCCATAATATTGCCTTCAGTATTAAAGTTGAAGCTTGAATTTTTTCTTCAGTTCCCTCAGCTTGAGAAATGCTGAGCATGCTCTTCCCTTTTGTTTGTTTTTGTGGGTTTTTTTTTAATCTCCAGGTTTTTGCACATTGAACTCTAATATTTGACTTTGTCTTCTTGAGCTGCCCTTTGAAATTTTCTATTCAGTTCTTTTACCTCCTCATTTCTTCCATTTGCTTTAGCATCTCTGGGCTAAAGAGCAAGTGTCAGAGTCTCTTCTGACATCCATTTTGTTCTTTTCCTTCTTTATTGTCTTCTTAATGACTTTTTGCTTTCTTCCTATACGATGTTCTTTATGTCATCCCACAACTTTTCTGGTCTTCGGTCTTTAGTATCTAATACATCAAATATGTTCTTGAGATGATCTCTTGATTCAGGTGGGATATGCTCATGGTCATATTTGACTTTTATAGACTTGATTAAATTTTCTTCAGCTTCAGCCTGAACTTGTATATGAGCAATTGATGGTATGTCCCACAATCTGCCCCTAGCCTTGATTTGGCTGCTGATGTGGAGCTTTTCCTCTGTCTCTATCCACAGATGTAGTCAATTTGATTTCTGTGTATTCCATCTGGTGAGATCCATGTGTATAATTTTACTTTATTGTTTTTTAAAAAGGTATTTACAATGAGGAAGTCATTGGTCTTGAAAAAGCTAGCATGCAATCTCTGTCATTGTTTTAATCACCAAGGCCATATTTTTCAACTACTGATCCTTCCTCTTTGTTTCCAACTTCTGCATTCAAATTGCCAGTAATGTCAGTATACCTTGATTGCATGTTTGATAATTTTCTAACTGAAGAAGTAGTAGAATTCTTCAATTTCATCATCACTGACTTTAGTGATTAGTGCTAAATTTTAATTATACTTATAATTAACTGATTTTCCTTATTGTTGTTATTAAGTGGCATGGATTTGGTTCCAACTCATGGATTTGGTTCCAACCCTGTATAATGTTTCCAAGGAGCGGCTAGTGAGATTAATTGCCGGCCTGGTGGTTCAAACCGACCTTGCAGTCCAGCACATTGACCCACAGTGCCACACCAGGACTAGGTGTATGAATATTATCCTATCATAGACAGCATGGTACTTCAAGATAGATCTTGAAATGTTCTTTTTGATGATGAATGTGACACCATTCCTTTTCAACTTGTCATTCCTGACATAGTAAATCATGTGATTTTTCTTATTCAAAATGGTTAGTACCAGTTATTTCAGCTTACTAATGCCTAGGGTATCAATTTTTATGCTTTCAATTTCACTTTTGACACCTTCCAATTTTCCTAGATTCATACTTTGTACATTCCATGTTCAGATTATTAATGGATGTTTACAGCTGTTTCTCCTCAATTTGAATTGTGCTTCATCAGCAAGTGAAAGTCCCAAAGGCTTTCCTCCACTCATGTCAGTCATCATGGTTAACTCTTTTGTGGTAGTAGCTCTTCCCCTGTTGTTTTGAGTACCTACCAACCCGAAAGGCTCATCTTTGGCACTATATCTAACAATATTCTGGTGTTCTTCATCATGTTTCAGTATTCAATATTCTGGTGCTATCTGACAGTGTTCCACTGTTATTCATA